GGGACAGCCCCCCCTCCCCCGCCCCCCCGACCGTGATGCCGGGTACACACGGCCTCACGCCGCCGTCGCGGGGAGCTGCTGGCCGCATTGTCCAGAGGAAACGGAGCGCGAGTGCTGGGCCAAGGTCACCAGCCCGACGGGGCCGGAGGAAGCGGGGCTCGGACGCGGGCGGTCCGACTCGGGACTGCCTTGGGGATCAGGCTAGGCCGGGAGGGCGAGGTGGGGGGACACTCCCGCCTAGCCGGCGTGCTCGCAGCTTCCCCACGATGGGGGTTGGGGGTGGGCACGGCTAGTTTGAAGGGTTTTGCTGGCCCGAGGAGAGGAGACGGGGAGGGCATCTTGGAAAGATCAGTACAGGCGAGTCTTGGATTCTAGACCTGGCTCTGCGGGTGTGTAATCTTGGGTGTGGCCCTCTTCTCCCTGGGGCTCAGTTTCCTCATCTGTCACATGAGGGGATTGGGCCCGCCCCCCTCTGCATTCCCTCCAGCGCTGGAGTGGGGTCAGGATGGATCGGAGGGGCCTGAGAAGGCTTCTTGGAGGGGATGTTGGAAATCTGGGTCGGAATCTGTTACCCTAGGGAAGGAGCAGGATTAGGTGGCGAAGGGAACCAGGGCATTTCAGACCTGACTATCACATTGAGCAGAATCTTCCAGAAATGAGCAGGGTGTTGTTGAGGAACAGGGAGGATGCTCGCCTGCCTTGTGCAGAGGATTCCCTGCTGGGTAAGCGGATGAAGGCAGGGGAGAGGGTAGCAGTGGGAGAGATGTTCAGAGACAAATCATCACCAGGCTAGGAGGTCTGAGGCTTGAGGACCTCTGCCAGGACATACCTGCCATTCAGGTAGTGTGCAGAAGGGGGCAGGTTTACTGCTGAAGATAAGAGTTGGGCTCCAAAGGTCGGTCAGCCAACCAGGGTGACTCTGGTGCCAGGTGGGAGGTTCCAGGGCCCCAGCATTCTGAAGGAGGAGGGTAGGGTGTGGACTTTTTTGTGTCCTGATTTGGGCCTCTTTGGCTGGAGAAATTGGTTGTCCCCTAGTGTCCTGCAGTTCCATCTTTTACATTGAGTTTGGGACTTTTCCACTGCAGGAAGAATTGTAAATGAGAAGTTCCCCACCACGTGAGCTGACTGGCCCGTGGTGTCCATGCACAGGTGACATGGCCTGATTTTGCCGCTACAGGCGGGAATGTGTAAATATTACTTGGTATGATAAGACTAGTAAATAGCACATAAGAATCTTCTTTGAACAGTCTGAAAGCAAGACCCACCCAGAAGAGGAACTTAACCAGGCCAATTACAACTTGTGAAATTTACAGACTGAGCATGCTGTTCAGTATAGCTGGTGCGTTACCAAAAATGCTGCCATAGTCAGAGTGTCATTTGCAGTAAAGGGGAAGTTTAGTTTTAAAATAGCTCTTTAAGGAATGAAGCATATTGAAGAAGGTAAAGAGAATTCCGAAGCAACTGCAGGTGTTCAGCTAACCTTTAGACTCTTTGAATAATTGTTTTTATTCGGATCTCTTTTATAGTGTTAATTTAACAGCTATGAACATTCCCAAATTTGTCCTTTGGTTTATCCCTAAAATGTCATGTCATAATGGTAAAGATGATGAAGTAGATGGTCATTACATACATAGATTTTTTAGAATGTTAGGAAAGTGAGTTTTGTCTTATCTTCTATGGAAAACAAAACACCAGTGTTTTCTTTTGTATCTTGCATAGTCAATTAATAAGGGCCAAAGACTTGTTGAAGATCACAAGCCAGGAGTCTGTCTCTAAGTAGAATTGATTGAGTATGGAGCATACTCTGCCCACGGAGAAGAATTCATTGTGGGGTAGGGGTATAAAAGAATTAAAGGGGCTGGCCCGGTGGCGCAAGTGGTTAAGTGCGCGTGTTTGGCTGCGGCGGCCCGGGGTTCGCCGGTTCAGATCCCAAGGGTGCACCGATGCGGCGGCCCGGGGTTCGCTGGTTCGGATCCCCGGGGCGCACCGACGCACTGCTTGGCAAGCCATGCTGTGGCGGCTTCCCATATAAAGTGGAGGAAGATGGGCACGGATGTTAGCCCAGGGCCAGTCTTCCTCAGCAAAAACAGAGAGGATTGGCAAATGTTAGCACAGGGCTGATCTCCTCACAAAAAAAAAAAAAAAAAAAGAATTAAGCAGAGTCCTCAGACTGCAGTGACACAGAAGAGTGCCTTGGTATGAGCCTTTATTTGTGCGAGTGAGTCTTGCCAGGACCCTCTGAGTGGCTCCTTCGGTGCAGGTCCTCAGGGAGCTGGGTGTGGACCTGGCATGTGCCCTAGCACTCGCTTTCCCATGGGGCTCTTTATTATGACTTTCCTAGGGTACTGCGTGCTGAACTCTCTTTATGGACACTGTTCTTTTATTTTATTTTTTGGCATATTTGTATTGCTAAGGTTGGCTAGAGGATAAAAACCAAGTGGATTTGTGTGGTGCATCCAGCCAACTCCCAAGTGGTGGATGCATATCTTGGCCCATCTTCAGGCGCCCCTGACGATGTGGTAGGACCGATGCTCAAGTCTGGGTGTGTGGCAGTGGACTTGGTTGGGAAGGCAAACACTGCTTTGTGATCCAGATCTGCTTAAGGGATTCCTGACAAGATCATTCCAGGTGGGGGCTGAGCAAGAGAGCCTGGCTCTAGATGGTCCTGCTGTCTCTGGTAGCTTGTGGGCTGGAGCCCCCACGGGTGTTCCTGACTCTACGCCCACCTCCAGCACCTCCTTGTGAGGTTACTTTGTAAACTGAACCAATAGCTGCCTGCCCTGGGTAAAGCTGAGAAGATGTGCGTGCGTTGGTTATGGTCCATGCTTCTGTGTAGGTCCATCTGAGGAGACGGCATGGTAGAGGGGGAGTGAAGAAAGTAGTGTTGGTTTGTGTTCACATTTGTCAACTCTATTGAGGTATAATTGAAGTACACTAAACAGCACGTATTTAAAGTATGCAGTTTGATCAGTCTTGATGTATGTATGTATCTCTGAAACCATCACCACACTCAAGATAAGAATGTTCCATCCTCTCCAGGAGGGAAATTAGTGTTTCTGTCATGACCACTTCTAGCAGGTGAGTGGCCTCAGACAACCCAGTTCTTGGGCTCCTGTTGTCTCAGGGTCCACATCCGTAAAAAAAGAGTGGGAGTCGGTGGGGAGATCCTTTGCAGATTTGAAATTGTAGCAGCTTGCAAATGCTGATGTGTAATAGAACTATCTTTTGAAGCCTTTAGGCCAGTGATTCTTAAAGGGACTCGGTGTGTGTGTGTATCTGCGTAAGTCACGTACAATTCAGAAGATCATATTCAGTATGTTGTTTTCGTGGTACAAGTAATAGAACATAATCTTACAGTCTTTGGGGGCATACATAGAAGATGGTGTGAGAAGCTATGTAAGGGACCTGGGTTAAAAATGGTTAAAAATACAATAGGGGAGGGGTAATCTTATATTTTGGCTTTAAGATCTTGGCCTTGAACTAAAAGTCCTGTGCTTAGGTCAAGTTTTTCGTCTGCAAGTTTTGGATAGTTTTCTTTTGAAAATGATCAGAGTGTGTGAAAGGAAATGATATTAAAGCAACAAAGGAAATTATGGAAATGTTGGGCTGGTGACCAATTTTTGTCCTCAATCAAAAGAAGTTCCAGAGTCCCTCTCCACCTGTGGTGAGGCACGCATGAAGCAGGAGGAGGCATGTGAGATGAATGGTGGTTTATGTTAGAAACAGAGGTGGATTCTAGAGGACAAGTATGCCTGTAAAAATTGGTGACATTTCTTTAGCCCTTTCTTTCAAGCGGTCAGGTACATCAGCTAGGTTTGGTCTTTATCGTCCTTCCCAGTGAGCTTTCAGTGAGGGAACCTGAAACACAGATGGGTTGGAAGCAGCCAGTGAAGAGAATCTAGTTTGGGGTATTATTACTTAATCTTGATGTTGATAGTGCCTAAAAATGTGAGAAAACACAACATAGATAAATGAGAGGATGCTTATTAAGGTTCTTTAGTAAAGGAAGAAGGAAAGGAAAGCAAAGCGTTGCAGGGCTCCCTCCTTACCAGAGGCCGATGCTCCCCGCAGTCTGCGATGGGCCAGGCACTGGGGCCACATACACAGGTGCATGTCCCCAAAGCCAGGAAGGGCAGACTTACCAGTGGACAGTAGTGGGCCCACGTGGAACCCATCAGTGGTGGCTCCCCTAGACCATGAGCTCAGGGGAGCTTTGTCACAGCCGCATCTCAAGGCCTGGCACAGGGCTGGGCTCCTACTGAGTGTTAAATGCGTGGCTCTCCCTTTTTAAAATTTTCATCCGTACTTTAAAAAATAGACTTATAGAGGATGGCATAGAGGTTGCCCAAATTCATTCTTATTAATGTACTTTATATGCTAAATTTTTCTATAACTAAATTAGAGAAAAAAATTGAAAACCACCTTACATCATTGTCTTCAGTGTCCCGTCACAATCTAGAGATGGGTCCTTAACCCTGCTTTCGGTCTGTCTTTCAGGGTAAAGGTGGCAGTAATGCTGACGCTGGCGAGCAAACTGAAGAGGGATGACGGTCTCAAAGGGTCCCGGACATCAGCCACAGCCTCTGACTCCACTCGGAGGGTTTCTGTGAGAGACAGGCTGCTTGTTAAAGGTAATGATCATCTGTGTGAGCGGGTTTATGTCCTGTAACAAAATGAAGTCTGGCGGGAGGCTCTTTTGGAATATGAAGCAGCCTGTTGCTGAATAGAAATAGCTGTTTGAAAATATTTTAAAATATAGTTGCTTATTGCTTACAACAGAAGGACGTTGTACTGTGCACATGCTGTGGGAATGCTAATGGCAAGAAAAAGGTATTAAAACTGTGGTGTGTCTTATACACTTGGAATATTCTCTGTAGGGGCTGCCAGAATGCTAGTGGAAGGAATAAGATACCCAGAGCCAGCAGGCCTAAGGCTCTGGTCCCAGTGCCGTCATTGTCTGCCTGGGGGAGGTGTGTGTGTGTGTGTGTGTGGTGGCAGGGGCGGGGGGGTTCTTTCTTCTGGACTCCTCAGCGCCATAGTGTCCAGTCTGTAAAGGGAGAGAGTGGGATTTGGTAATCTCAGGATCCTTCTCTGTTTTATTCAAGTCAGAGCCTGAGGAGAGCCTTGTGCAAAATTAGTTTTCTTCACAGAATTAATAACAAGTGTCCCAGAGCTGTGGTCTTTGGAGAAGAGTTTATGTAATGTGTGTATGTGAATACGCATGCGTTTGTGTAGAACTTCTGCATTCATTCAGTGAACAAACTTAAAATTGTTAGGCGCAAAGGCAGTTTCCTAGGGTCATGGGGACTACAAAAGATGACGAAGAAGCAGTTCCTGCCTTTAAGGAGCTTATAATTTGCAGCGCTTCTTACTTTATGACATGTGTTTACATTTCTTAGGTGTAAGGAGCTGGGAAGCAAAGAAGGGTTCAGTAAGTTTGTTAGAACTGCCCGTTTTCATGTTGTATTAGGTCAACACCATGGGGGTTACCGGCATTTGTGTGTCCTGAAACAGATCTAATGGCAGGAGACCTGGTGTATGAATGCACTGTGTTGGACCGTCTCAGAAACACAGCCCTGCTACGCTTGGGAAGGAGTGGGAACAGGAAGGCATCAGGTTCAGGAGAGGCTGCACTCTTCCTTTTTCTCCCATTGCCCCTGAATCTCGACTTAGTTCTGGCTTATCCAGCCTGATGGATGATTGGTTAAAGATGGAGTAAGAATTGTTTGTACATTTTGGCATTACCTACCGTGTCAGGGAGAGCACTAGATTGTGTTCCGAGTTTGTTACAGCACTAGAAGGTTTACCCTGTGGGTCGGAGGGTGGGGCGTGGGCTTCAGCACCTCACTTGGCTGGGTGCTTTAGGACTTGCATCTCTTTCCCAGATGCTGTCTCCAGGGTTCCATCTACAGAGGAAGCCAAGAGCCAAGCAAGCCAGGGAAGGGGTTTGGTGTGTGTTGTTGTGGTCCTTCGAGTGGAGGGTGCCTTAGTGCCTGGGGAGTTAGGGAGAGGAGGGTCTAGGCATTAGCTGAGGAGGAGCAGGTGGGAGGCTGGTGTATAGACTGTCCCGTCTTGACCATAACCTCGTCATGGTTAATAGCAGCTGGTACACTGAGCACTTAGGGCCAGGCCCTCTGTGGCGCACTTGATGGGGCAGCTCTTGTTTGACTTTTGCTAAGCCTTGCGAGGTGGGTGGTTCATTTTACAGCTGAAGAACTAGGACTCAGAGAGGTTAAGCAACTTGCCCAGGTTGCAGCTTTATTGCAGCAGGACAGCCAGACCCACATATGGGAGTAGGGCAGGCACTTCAGGAGCAGACCCAGCAAGCAGAAACCAAAAGAGCAGAACAGAAGTGCAAGTCCACAGAAAAGAGTGTTCGGGGAGGCACAGAGGCTCCACCACACCTCGGCCCTGCTCAAGGATTCACTTGGGAGCTCTCAAATGGCTCTAGGGCCTGACACAGCCCAGGGGAGCCCACTGAGGCTCACAGAGCTGGACTCCACCCCAGCTCCAGGACCGGAGATGTCTTTGGCTGGATTTACAGGGCCCAGCTAAGGTCCTTTGGCCTTGTGAGACTCATCAAGGAGAGTTGCAGAACCACGTCGTGAGGCCACCTGTTTCCATCCTCCCTGAGGCACTGATGATAATCAGGTTTCTGGGGCCCCACGCACTTGCAGTTGATGGCTGGTTATGGGCAGCAGGGCTCAGTGTAACACACCCCTCATGTGGCCTGCTCCCTTGATGTGCCTCGGACGTGGCTGAGTGGTGAGTAGTTTGGGCTTGTCATGGAGGGTGGGCCTGACTGAGAGGGGAGGCTGTGGACAAGAGGTACATAATAAAGAATGCTCTGATGGCTGATGAGTGCTCATCCATTCTTCACACGCTCCTTTGCTTGGGTGTGGCAGTGGCCTTCATTCTGGGGGTTTCTGATGGTGGAAGTGGTGTGGTGGGCAGGGTGTTGTGGGGCAGGGTGAGGCGCTTGGAGGGGTGATTATGGTAAGAGTCCTTTCTAGGCAAACCCCCCCTTTTGGGACTTGGAGAAAAGTACAGTGTCTGAGTTCAGCAAGATTGCTACAGTCAGGACTGTCATCCTGGACGGTGACTTTGGCTCATGTGAGAATGTTACTCATGAGGATCGGTAGGTTGTAGAAGAGTGTGTTAATGTGTCTTTGGGATTCAGTGCCGCAGGCTGGCTTCTTGGAAGCAGGGAATTTGGCATGCAGTATGGTTATTAAAGAGAATCCTTGGGACTGATACCTGTGGAGGGAGGGGAAGGAAGCAGGCGCGGGCAGAGGGAGACATCATGCTTCGAGGAAGGCCCCCTGACAGCCTCTACTCTGGAGCAAGCATGGCCCTTCAGAGCTGTCCCCCGTCAAGCGAGATGGTCAGGCTTTCCTGCTCTGCATCTACCAGTCGTCAGATGGGGCTGTCCTGGGGGCGTGGGGGGCGGGGTCTCTGCCAGCCCTCATTGAGGGGGATCTGGGCTGTGCATCCTATAGCCCGAAGGAAAGACCTCAGAGACTTACAGGCAAAAATATATATTTTATAACTGGTCCATTGCCATGCTTGACCTTACACGGTGTGGGATCTGGCTTGCTGCAGATGGCTGTAGGGTTGAGCTGATGGATGGGAGAGATTGGAGGTTGGCAGTGACAGTTGTCCCTAGTGAGGAGGGCCAGTAGTGGCTGCACAACTGAAGCCCATGTTCTTTTTCTTGGAATAGTGGGCCTAGTTCTGAAGGGTGACAGAAGGTTGGAGTCAGCCCTCCCTGGGAATACCGTAGCCTGCCTGGAGCAGCCGGCCAGGGAGAGGCCTCCACCATCCTGGCACTGTGACCACGTCAGCTTTTCATTTGCACCCCCAGGGTAGTTCTCATGGACACCCTCCAGGCTGGAACTGGAGAGGTGCTTGTAACAGCAGTCCCTGGAGGGTGTAGAACAATCGAGTGTTTCTGGGCTAGGACTGAGGGCTGCTGTCTGCCCTGAGTCCTGGGAGCTGGAGACACTGGGGAGAGAGAGTGTCAGATCTGTGCATTTCCTTTTGGCCCCACCTCAGGTCTGGGCCTGAGTGGGGAGCCATCACCAGTGTTGAAAACACTGCCACAGGGCAGAGGATGCTGAGTTCTTGGTAGAACTTTGTGAGGCCACTGAGTCCATCAAGTTCTGAGTCAGATGGTGCTCCTACCTCCCAGAAAAGCCCTCAGGGCAGAATACTCACTTTCTTGTCTGTCAGGAGCTTGGCGCTTTTCATGTAACGGGAGCATGTCTGTGTCCCTGTTCTTTCACTTGTTCGCTCAACAAACATTTTAGTGCCTGCTGTGTGCCAGCCTACTGTTAGTGACCCCCAAAGACCTAAAGGGGCTCCAAACAGGCTGGCAGGAACCATTTGCTTATCTTTGTTAAATGTAGACATTTGGAATTGAACTGCCTGAGTTCGGGGGTCATGTCAGGCATTAGGGGGACTGGAGGGAATGAATCTGTGTGCAGCCCTTGTCCATAGCAGCCCCTGCCCCAGGTGGTTCCTGGCGTTCTCTCCTTTCAGCAGGTGGGTTCTGGGGCTGGGGCTGTGGTGTCTGGCTCTCCACGCTCCGAGCCTACTCTCCAGAGTGGAGAGGACTGGCTGCCCACCTGCACGTGCTTCCCAGACTCCAGGGTGCCACATGGGACCCCCCTCGGGTGAGTGCTTCTGCATCCACACTAGCAGTTGGGTCATGTGATGGTATAGGAAGGGCCTCGTTCCAGTGCACTTCCTGGAAGAGTGGGAGAAAGAACCATTTATTGTTCTCCAGAGCTGCTCCCTCCATGCCAAGCCCTGCCCAGGGCCTCTGGGGGTGGGCTTGAGGTTTGACTTGCTGTGTTGGCAGGATATTCCGAGCGTTTAGCAGCCTGTGAAGCTGGGGGTTACACGGCACAATACGTATTTTAAAAACTAGAGCAGTGGCCCAGAGAGGAGGAGGCAGCTGGCCCCAAGGCTAACCTTTAAATGCTTCGTTGGAGGGTTAAATACCAGTGAAGCTGCCCAGGGAACTTGGTGGTCCCCTTGTGTGTACCCAGTAGCCCAGTGGACCAGGGAGGATCTGTGGAAGACAGACGAGGGCTCGAGTCAGCCTTGTCTGCTCATGTTGAGAGTGGGTGGTATGAGGCCTTGGGGCTCCATTCCCATCCATACAGTCTCTGCTGTAGGGGCTGTGCTGGTTTTCAGGGTTACAGCCTTGCTCCCCTGCTGTATGGATGGGGCCGTGAGTGCTGTGGGCCTGCACTCTGCCATGTGCTGCTGGAAGACTCTTAGACTGAGTGGAAGGGCTGACTTGGGGCTCCGTGGGGTCCTTGGGCCTCAGATGTCTGTGGAGGGATTGATGCCCTTTGGTCAAGTGTCTCCCAGATAAGGGCACTGTGTATGGATGCTGGGAGTGCAGAAGAGGTGCTGAGTGCATAAAGACAACAGGAAGCTAAGAGATCAAGTTCTAGTTCCAGAAATCTAAGAGGGTAGTGGTTCAGGTGGAAAGAGGTATTCAAGTCTCCTGGGAAGTAACTGCCATCTTTACCTGGGTCAAAGGGCGCAGCTGCTCTGCTTGATGGGGCTTGGACCTGGCTCTTGCTAAGAACCATCTGCCTGTGTGTTTGGCCTTTTGTCTTAGTCGGCTCAGGTACCATAACAAAGTACCATAGACTGGGTGGCAGCAGATATTTATCTCTTGGTTCTGGAGGCTGGAAAGTCCAAGATTAAGGCACCAGCAGATTAATTTCCTGGTGAGGGCCCTCTTCCTGGCTTGCAGGCACCTGGTATCTCTTCTCATAAGGGCACTAATCCCATCGTGAGGGCCCCATCCTCATGACCTCATCTAACCCTAATTACCTCCCAAAGGCCCCACTTAATGCCATCATGTGGGGGGGAGTTGAGCTTCAACATATGAACTTTGCGGGGACACAGTTCAGTCCACAGCACCTTTGGAATGCCTCGGTCTCCAACTATATGAGGAGAAAGGTTCCTCACATCTCAGGACATTCACACTGGGAGTACTGCCACCTTGATGGTAAGTGTGCCTTTTTGTCCAGCACATCCTGAGCACCCTACGTGTGCCAAACTCAGGGCCGGGTACTGAGGTTCCAGGGCTGGGTCAGACTATACAGCCCCTGCCGTGAAGAGTGTGCAGGTTGGAGTGGCAGGCAGTGCAGAAACAACTAGAGCATTGTGTTGTGAGTGGCCCTGGCAGAAAAAGGTGAGTCCGTGCCATGGGGGGCCATTGTGGTAACTGGGTGGATTTTGTAATCTGATATTTCAGTTCAGTCATGCTTCAAGTGGGCTCTGTGGTTTGATCTTTAGTTAGAAAGGAAAAGAGTCTAATTTCTCAGAAGGAAATTGTGCAGCCACGGAATTGTGCAAGGTGCCAGGTGCCTCCCAGAAAGGCTGGGCCAGTGAGTGGTAGAGGTGTTAGCACCTTGGAACAGGTGTAACTTTCGCAGTTTAAAATTACCTGAATTCCTTGTTACCTTACAGGTGGGGGTGGTGTCCTTCGGGCACTGAGGTTATGCAGGGAAGGGCTGCTGCTTTGCGGAGAGGCCTCTCAAGCATGTGAGGCAATTCGCTTGTCTCTTTGGTCACAGTCTTCTTGTATATGGATTCTAAAGTGATAAGTATTGGTGCTGGCGAATTATTATTTGCCATCATTTGAAGTGTGGAGAAACTACCTGTCATTTGTGACAGCTCCCTAAGAGGAACACTGCCTGAGCGTGCGTGGCTTATTTTATCTTCTGTACCGGGCTGAACTAAAATGCCGAGCATCTTTATTGAAATCCTTTGTGCCCCCAGGATTGTGTTCCTTACCTGCACTGGCTCTTGGACCAAAAGCCTACAGAGGCCCTGACTGGTAGGGGTCATCACTGGTCTGGGTCCAAGGGCTCTCCCTGGCTCTTGTCCACCCTCCTTGAGTGAGTTACACGGAATGTGGAAGTGCAAGCATGCTCATCTTTGGAGTTTAATTTTGGACTACATTGTGAAGTTATTAAATCCATCTATGTAAATAGCTGTGTGTAGATATTTTAGCATGGTAAAATAGCCTACAGCAGTGTTCTATACCTGGGGAGAGTAAAAAAATTCAGAGGCCCCAGCCCCACCTAGAACTTTTTGTGTAATTGGTCTGGATAGGGCTGGGGTGGCAGGATTTGCTCAGCAGGTACTAGATGTAGTGATGGATGCACGACTTCAAATTTTACTAAAAATCTTTGAATTGTACACTTAAAGTGGGTCTATTTTATAATATGTAAATTGTACTGCACCAAAGATGTTAAAAAAACTCCCAGGTGATTGATGTGCAGCTAGGGCAGAGAATCCCTGTCCTACAGTGAGGTGTCCTCCAGCCTGCAAGCCTCATGCCCCCACGCACCGTCCCTGTCATGCAGGGGTCTGGTTCTGTTGCTCATTCATGGTGATGCCCCTGGTCAGTGCCTCCTGCCCTCCTGTGTCCAGACCTCACCTCTGCCTCATGCGTTATCACTAGATTGTCTTCTCAAACATTTCACTTCTGTTATGTGGCCTCCTTTTGAAATCCTCTGGGCATGTTTTTTATTTTACTGCGTTTTTGTAAAGCTGGACAACCGGAGTTCTCACAACTGCAGACAGGACAGGCCTGCAAGAGAAAGCAGGGTTCTAGTGGCCAGCATCAGTCTCCCACAAGAAGGACTCTCAAGGACAGTTTCTTGTAAATTCTTATCAACAAAAAGTTAAATAATAGTATAATAAAAAATGTCAATAGTATATGCCTTAAAAACATATAGTTTAATTATATGGATAACATTTATTTCAAAGTGATTAATATAAATAATTCATTTGATAAAATGTGTGTTTTTGTGATAAAATGAATGCCCTGTGGGAGCTGTTGGAGCAGAGTGTGGCCCTTGGCCCCTCCTGTTGGAGGACATGGTGTGAGCGGGGCATAGGGCTGTGGTCCTCCTCAGCCTGCCTTACCGCATCCCATTGTCTTTAGCAAATGCCCTGCTTCAAGGAAGGGCCAGAGTGGGCCAGTCAGAAAGAGGAGACTAAGGCTGTGGTCATTATAAGAAGAATGATAGTGAACTTTTCATAGACTCATCATTGTTTTGTTTTGTTAAGTGAATATATTTTAATGTACCACAACCCAAGACTGCTGAGAAGATAGATTCCCAGTCTTGCATTTAGTCACAAAACTTGTTCCTTTTCTAATCACAGCAGGAGGATGATTAACTGTTACTCGTCTCCCTACGCCCAGCTCCACTGAAGAGATTGGCTCTTTTCCTCACCAGTGAGAAGGCTGTCCCTGGCTAGAGCACTGGATATGACGCCCTGGAAGCCGCAGGGAGCGTCGGCACCTTTCCTTTCCCTTGCCCCTCCCTCCCCTGCCCCACTCCACTCTTCTGGATGCCCATTCCAGATACCTGGACCCCAGAGCTAATACGTTTAGTGGGTCCCCTGTCTCTACCCAGATTGTCAGTCAAGTAGCTGATATCAAAGGCCTGTGGGTTTCCTAAACCCTTAGCCTCAGAATAGAGCCATCTGCCAGTCTTCCCACTAATGCATTCAGCATTCAGCTTTGCAAACATTATGGCCTCTGTCATCCCGCTCCTCTCCCCTCCCCACCTCTCCCCACTCCACTTGAAGGAATTGTTACCTGCTGCTTCTGTATTTTGACTACCCGTTTGCTTCTTTTTTCTGTTTTTGTAATCTGGTTTCCATCTTTCCATTTGCCTTCCTGCTGTTTTGAATGCCCTCAGCAGGGTCTGGTCCTGCTGGTCCAATGGCCTTGCCTTGGGCCTCGTTCCCCTTGGGCCAGTCTGTATTGTCCTTACTGAATCAGTATGTTCCTACCTCTCTCCTACTTTTCTGCCTGTTTCTCATCAGTAACTTTCCCTGCTCCTTGTCCTCTGCTTTCTGCTGCGGTTTTTCTCACCAGCCTTTCCCCTTTGTCGGTCTCATGATGTCAGGTGGCATCGCTCTGCAGGGGCTCCTCAGCCCTGGCCGTGGCCGTGCACCCAGACCTCAACTTCCTCCTCCTGGAACATCAGCCCTCGGTGTCATCTCTGACCCCTCCTGCCCCACACAGTTGGCAGATCCTTTCGTCCCCTTTGCTCTCAGGCCCCCTGACTCTCCCTGCCTTTGCTGGGCCCTCGCTACCGATTGGAGTGCCCACCTCACAGGTCACCTGGCCTCTGCTTTGCCCTTTCTAAAGATGTCCTCTTGAGGCGAAACTTAGAAACTCTTGTTCAGAAATTGCCCTCAGCTCCCTATTGCTGCAGAATAAAGTCTAGAATTCTACACCGCACACTCAGGGCCCAGCTCAGTCCTGGCCCTGTTTTTCGACCTTGTTTCCCGTTGCTCTGTTGTTGTCTTTGTAGCCATTCTCTGGCTTCACTGTATGCTTTCTGGTTTCTGTGCTCGTCTGTGTTCTGTGCTTTTGCACATTGCTGGCTTATCTCCCCAGAATACCTTTGTTTCCACCTCTGCAGAACTGATTTCTGCTTGTTCTTTAAAGCCCAGCTCAAAAATTTCTCCTTCCTTTAGTCTCCAAAGCTGGAGGGAATCTCCGTGCTCCGAGGATCCTAGAGCACGTTACATCATGTCGAGGCATAGACAGCTTGCCTGCCCAGTTATTTCTGGGTGCCCACCCCAGACTTCAGCTCTTGAATAGTAGGATTGATGGGGCTTTGCAGCTTTGTCCTGGCAGACGACTGCTGGCCTTAAATGCTGAATTAGTGACTGATGGAAGAGGCCTCAGAGAGCATTAGGACCAAGGAATGTAGCTCTGAAGAGGCGACTCCCTTGGGTAGTTAGCAATGCCCACAGATGGCAAAGGGCAAGGGTTCAGGCCCAGCAGGAGGTGGAGAGTTTCCTCTCACTGGAAAAGTTCGAGCACAAACTGGGTGAGCCCTCATGGGCAGACAGATCTGGAAAAACTGGAAGAGACACAAGGTGTATATATAAATCAGATTTTGAGGGCAGTGGTTCCACTGCTTGGGGGAACAAGATTTTCAAAAACGCTCTAGTGACTCTTTGCCTATAGGTAATTTCTATGCTAATTTTAAATGATTTTCCTTCACACTAAAATAAATTTTCAAGGGCCCTTGGCTGCACTTGTTGGCATCCTGCAAGTCGCTTTGTATATTTTTAAGCAATGTCATGGCTTAAAGTCTAAACTTTAGACCAAGGGTAGATTTCAGTTAGTTCAGTTTATTTTTTTCCTCAGTGTTCTAGGGGACATTGCCAATTTAGAAGTGGTGATTTTATGTGGAGTAATTGACTAATATTAACAATAATCTCTTTGTTTCCACAGAGGTTGCAGAACTTGAAGCTAATTTACCTTGTAAGTATAATGTCCCCAGTCAGACGTTAAGTGCTGTAAAATAATTGCATGGAGAAGCTTGTTTTATGTTTTAATAATCTTGCATAGCAAAAAGCCTGTTTTTCGTGTATGCTAGGAATAAATTTTACTTTTGTGCAAACAGGTAGCAGACTTTTTCCAAGGCTTGGTAAGGATGAGGTATTTACCATCTCTGAGTGTATGGGAGTGCCTTCTCTCTCCTTGCTGTGGCAGAGGTGCGCTGGCTAGGTTTTGTGTCTCTTCCACAGCATTCTGTACTCTGCTCTCTTTGAGTGAAAAGGTGTATAAATCAATGATGGACAGTCCTGTTTTTGTCAGTCACGGTACCACGTTTTTGGTCCAGAAAGTGCTTATTTGTAATTGTCTTTGTGCATGAGGTAGGATGACGGCTGCCTCTCTGTCGCCAGGGCTCCTCTCCTTGCTTGGTCCTCTCTGCTCAGATACACACAGACCGCCTGTGCAGTCCTCACGTGTGGGCAAGCTCGCTCACCAGGCAGTTCACTCATGTGATAGGTGTCAAAGTTTCTTATTTTTTTTTTCTATCATTAATCCCTTCCCAAACCCTTTATATTTTATAAGACTATAAAAGGCTGAAAGCTTTGGCCATTTTAGTATTTTTTTGAATTAGAACTTTTTTCGTACTTGGTTAAAAATAGTTGTGAGGCTGAAGATGTTTGTCGATGTGGGTGAAATATTTTATACGTGGGTCTCCTGGTCTGAGTGAAGGTCAGAGAGCTTGATGTGGAGGCCCAGCTGACATGGGGTAAGAGAGGGCCTGTTCCAACCTCCACCTAAAGTTGGAAAGATAATTGTGGGGTGCAACCATTCAGTGGTTGTGAAATCTGTTTGTGAGGGTAAGTACATATTATTTCTTGAAAAATTATTTTTAATAGATAGTGTTTATGTATAGGTATAGTGGGTTGTGATATAATATGTTTCTTAGTGTGGGTCTCAGTCAAAAGTGTCTTAAAAGTCACTGGATTGCTTGACCTCAAAGTTTTCTTCTAGTCAGAACTAGAAGGAAGTATCTTGGGATTCCATTGAAAGGTTGTCTTTCTACCTACTGAGGCGTTTACAAATGATTTACTTTAAAATGTTCCAGGAAAACAAACAAACAAGTGATCGTGTTGTGTAGGTAGGATAGACGAAGCAAGATTGGCAAAATATTGAAGCGGAGTGTTGAGTTCATTATACTGTTCTCTCTTTTTTTTCTATTTTTTAAAAATTAAGTATATTAGGACGTTTTCCTAATAAAAAAGTAAAATAAAGTGATCCTTCTATTTTCTACCCTCATCATACCTTCCCATCCGCCCCCAACTTGAACATATATAGACATGCAGACATTTAATCAAAGACCACAAAAAACTTCCCACTTACACAGTTCATTTGTCCTTGAATAGGAATCTAAGCCATTGAGTGTAGCTTTAGCTTTATCTGAAAATTGGGTTTAAAAGCACTAAAACTTTATAATTGGCTTTCAAAACAGGATTTTAACTAATACCTTAGGTTTGAAAAAGGCATGACCCATCTTCCTAGCCCTTACGGCTAAGGTGTCAGGTTAAAAAGACTGCATGCTATGTGTATATATATGTGTATATGCTATATGCTATGTGCCTTTTCTTGTTTCTTTTTCTCCCTCCTCTCTCCCCCAGGCAAAGTGGAGGGAAATCTAAATCAGTTTATACAAGTAAGCCAAGCTTTCCAAAAGTATGCAGCTCATTATTCTAAAGAGGAAACAAGAAGCCACCAAAGAATAAATCTTTGCTATCTGTTTAATAATCTTTCTAAAATATTTATTAAGGCAAACAAAATAACTTGCCGTGTAGCAGTGCTGCGAAGTAATTTATTCAGAGCTAGTTTGGAGCTCTCTACCTGCAAGTTTGTAGAGGTTTCTCTGTTTGCAAAAAATAAAAAATATCCCTTTCAGACAGATGGAAATATTATGAGCGTCTCAGCGCATTCCTACAGATAGAGGAAAAGCTTAATTCTTGAGTTTTAATAAAGCCCCTGCATTGAACTAAAACAAAAATCTGACTTTTAACCTTTTTTTGTTGTTGTTAGAACTTAGACCTTTTTGAGCTTTAAAATTTTTGGTTCTTTTCAGTAGTTTTATTGTTTTTTAATCTTCCTTAGTAATTTCTTTATTCTTGGTGGGCCAGTCTGTTTTAGAGGGATTGATTTCTACTTCTGTACCTTTATTGAAACGAAGGAGAATGCTAGGTGTTAGAAACAAATGGATGATGCCAACTTTAGCTGATCAGTGAAACGTTTCCTAAGCCCTTGTCATAGGTTCTTGTTATTTATCTCACTGGAAAAATGGCCTTTATCTTTTCAAGCTAAGATTAGGAAAAGTGAAGCCCATTTAAATTATTCCATACACAGTTGAAATGTGTGATTTGAGCAAGTCTTGAACTCTTTGGCCCCCAGTTTCTTTATTCCTAGCATAAAGAATGTGACAGTGTAATCTCTAAGACCCCTTCTTGTTCTTCTAGACTGAGTTACCTTTCACTCTGCAATGATTTTCTGAGGGATTGGTAAAAAAAAAAAAAAAAAAGAGAAAACCCACTAACAGTTCTGCATTGTTTTTATGTGGCGTACCTAGTGTGTTCATAAAGTAATGAAATGAGGCATGGTATAGAGAAAAGAATCATGAACTAGTTTTTAATTTGGGAACTAGACTTCTTTCTGTTGATAAACTGTGTGATCTTGGGCTGGTCACTGAACCTCTCTGGACTGTAATGTCATCTCTCGTGATTGAGGACATTGGACTAGATAATCTTTAAGGCCATTTCCACATCTAAATTTGAATCATACTATTTTTTTTTTTTTGTGAGGAAGATCGACTCTGAGCTAACACCCGATGCCAGTCTTCCTCTTTTTTGCTGAGGAAGATTGGCCCTGAGCTAACATCCGTGCCTATCTTCCTCTACTTTATATGGGATGCTGCCACAGCATGGCTTGACAAGCGGTGTGTCGGTGTGCGCCTGGGATCCGAACCCGTGAACCCTGGGCCGCTGCAGCAGCAGAGCACGCACGCTTAACCACTTGCACCACCGGGCTGGCCCCCTGAATCATACTATTTTTGAGGAAAATTCATACCATTGTAAAACTAGGCAAATATTTTGAGTGGGACTTATAAGAAATAAAGTCAGTAGGTGACCCAAGAAATTTAGCATGATATTTTCTGAATTTATAAAGTATAGACAATTTCTACATATATTCCAAATTGTTTGGATATTTACCATTCTTCCATATTATTTGTTTGAAGGAGGCAGCTGTAGGCTGTAGCCAACTTCCCCTGTCTGCACCACTAGCCAGTAGCTCTTCTCCCAGTGGGAACTTCTTGTCCTGATCCAGACCCCTTCTGGTGTGGTGCAAGTAAGCATAGACTCTTGCCATCTGAGTCAGCAGAGCATCGTTTCACCAACAAAGCAAGCTGAGTTCCCAGTTGGATTTCAACAACATTAAAAAAAATGCCATGGTAAACTCTGGGTGGGAGCTAACTTAGCTGGCACAGTTCTTTTTAACTTCCATTTGCTGTGGTGGGTATGAATGACTATGGTGCTAGGTGAACAGACTAGAAGTTTGGCCTGGGTTCTTTTTCTGGTTTTTCCATTTAGCCTTTACCCACAAACAATAATCTCCCTGAGGTATGGTTTCTTCTTTTCAAAGTAAAGTAGCATAATTCTTGAAATTAATGGAAAGATCTCTATTTATAGTGACCATTTAAAGGTTGAAAGAAAACATCTCAATTTGGAATTAACTAGTAAAAGACTATGAGGAGGAAAACACATGGCAGAAATCACTGGTTTGCAGGTTTAGTAGATTGGCAAAGTTATTATCAAACAGATAGTGAGGGGAGTGTTCCGGCTGGGCCTGTAAACTCCTTCCGCAGCATTCAACTTCACGTGTGTCTCCAGGTTGGCCTCAACGTGAGGACTGCAGCTGGCTCTCAGACCTTCCTGATGTGCTGTTTCTTTTGCAGGTACCTGTAAAGTGCATTTTCCTGATCCAAACAAGCTTCATTGCTTTCAGCTAACTGTAACCCCAGGTAATGTTCTTACATACCTAAGTGTTAAAGTGATTTTCAAACAGCAGATTTTAAAGGCTGCCCAAACCTGTAATCTTTGCCTTGATTTGTCCTCTAACTTTTTGAAAGTTGTGACAGTAATGACTGTTCCCTATGAAGACAAGATAAGTGCTTTGTAGTCAAATAAAGCATAGAAAGTGAGATTGAGGCTTTCAGTGTATACGCCAGTGACTAGGTACAGACCTGAACCTCTCAAGTGGGTGCTGACAGACGCTGTTGGTGTGCAGTGAAGAATGTGAGCTGTGAAGTCATAACTGGGTTCAGATCCTGCTCTGCAATTTATTAGCAGTGTGACCATGGTTAAACTGCTTAATAACCTCTCTCAGCCACAGCACCCCCAGCTACAAAGTGGGGATCGAATAGAACCTATCTCATGGGACAGTTGTGAGATTAAATAGCTAATGTGCATGAAGCACTTCAGCCCCGAGTCTGGCATACAGAAGCAAGCAGAAGATTACCAGCTGCCCCTGTTAGGACTGATAAGTGTCTAAGCTCCGAGTGCTCCAGGGTGGTCACATAGTTCTCCTTGGTCAGACTGGGCAGCAAGAGGGAGGACTTGGGTTTTTTCTAGTTACAGTGCAGCTTCAAGAGTTGCAGGTTTGAACACTGCACAGACCAGCAGCCTTTACATTGGGCAGTGGGTGTCATGCTGTAGCCACTGGTGCTGCTGTGGGATGGGTGGGGAAGGCAGAAAAGAGGACAAGAGAGTTAACAAACAAGAGGGGAGGGGAGTGTTGGGAGGAAATAGAGGGTGTTATTTTATTTCGGGGGGTGGAAAAGGATTGAGAAACTGAGAATATATTAGTCACTAGCTAATTAAAAAGTGAGAGAATGCAGAATTTCAGTAGGTGATAATGAACCCACACATAAGCCCTGACATTGTCTCCCTGCGGGTAGGATGGTTTTTGTGTTTTATAATAGGAGAAATCCAGTTCTCAAAAACGTGCTTGAAAACTTTTAAAAATTCATTTAATCCGTGTAGTGGTTGTAAGCCGGCTCTGGGACATATGCGTAAATTCAGTCTGGTGCCATTTCTGCCAAGATAAGCAAGCGCTAGGATAGAGTTAATACCAGAACACTGTCCTTAGAAATGGGGTGTTCCACAGGCCTGATATCAAGAGATAACCGAAGCTCAGGACTTTAAACTATGAAATGATGAAAATGGTAACCATTCTTTGGCTGCTTTCATAAAACACACTTTTTTTTTGCATGGCCTACTGTTTTTAGCGAGAGGTATTGAGCACACTTTAATGTTTCTTGATGACTCAAGGTCACCGTTATGAATGTCATTTACTATTACTGTTAAGCAATGCAGAGTATTTTCAGAAATTATTGTGGTGGTGAATATTGGTTCTCTGTTTACTAAGTAGTCTCAGGCTTGTGTGTTTGTAGTAAAAATATTTTCTTCCCTCTGCCTTTCTAGGGCATTTTCAGTGGCTGTCAGGGATTCTGTTGCTCTGCCCCCAGCCCAAGTTTGGGCTTTGTGGTCCTTCTCAGCCACTCAAAGACCTTTGTTGATTTTGCCAGGCTTGTTACTATCTTACATGAGTGAGTTTGTTTGTTTGTTTCTTTTCTTTTCTTTTTTTTTAACTGAATTTTTTTACTGAATTACATGGATGTTATGATTATTGAGATTATGTATATGACACCACCTTTGATGTTCTTATTTTTATTCTTGAAAATGGAGCACAATTGTTTGTTACAGTTTTGATATTCACTGTTCCATCAGATAAAAAAATAACTTGTGTTTTCGTGCCTTACCATTTATATTTATAATAAGTGCACCTCAGGGACATTATCACCACATTGAGCTGTGTACTCAGCACACTCCTCAGATACTGTGTGTAGGCCCTTGTTTTTTGGTGGCAGTGAGTCAGAAAGCTGCTGTGGTTCCTGTCCTTTGTTATTAAAAGAAGTGTGGCAGAGATCTGCCAACCCTAACAGCTCGCCTAATATCGTGGTTTTTTAAAAAACTTTTGGAGTCATGCTCCTCTTAGTATTGAAAAAAAATTATAGAGCTATGCCTAAGTAGTAAAGTTTTAACAATGTATGAAGCAGATGATTTTGAAACTGGCTCATTTGCATCCAGTAATCCTGGGGCTGAGTGTGAAAACTCAGTCACATATAATCAGGTCGAGATGTTTGGGTGGTTACGGTAGAAGAATTACATCTGCATTTGAAGCTCAAAGCTCTTTATCTGGCTCCTGGCAAGATAGTTCCTGTTCATACTCGATAACATTTTCATAGTTTTGTTTGTTTTTGGACTGTCCCTCATGCTTGGAAATAAATGTATTCTTCAGAGAAAAGATGGAAATGTAATTTGGTGATAGAGGAAAAGAATTGAATTTAGAGGGAAAATAAGTCTTCACATCACCTCACAAAACAAGAGAAAATACTAGTAAGTAAAACGAAACAAGACAGAGCAAAAGCCTAGAGTCTCACTGAAATACTCCCTGGAGTCTTCTGTGAAGTTAGAGAGACAGTTTGAAAAACGGGGCCAAGTCATAGTTGCCAGTTGACTTGTGGAGTCTTCTCAGCCTGCCCCACTGTGATGTGGTGGCTTTTAGGCAGAGGGGGCACCATGGACTTAAATAATTTTTTAAAAATTTTAGTTTTCACTTTTTAAATAACTTATACTGAGGTATAAAATTACAAACAATAAAACATACTAGTTTGAACTTTACAGCTTAATGAGTTTTGAAATATGTATACACCTGTGTAACCACAACCCCAGTAAAGATATTTCCAGCACTCCTAAAGTTCCCTTCTACCTCTTTGCAGTCAATTCCTCACCCCCTGCTACCCTCCCCAAATTCCCTTCTGGTTTCTATTACCATAAATTAGTTTTGTCAGTTCTTGAATTTCATATAAATGGAATGTTATATATGTACTTTGTCTCTGGCTTCTTTCATGTAACATGTTTTTAAATTCATACGTGTTGTATGTATCAGTAGTCTGTTCCTTTTTATTTGTTGTTTGAATATGCCATAATTGTTCATTTTACTATTGATGGACATTTGAATTCTTTCCAGCTTTAGCTATTATAAATAAGACTGCTATTAGCATTTTCATACCATCCTTTCTATACTCATATCTTTCATTTCCCTTCAATTTCACTTAAGAGTGAAATTTCTGAGTCATGGGAAAGATATGTTTAACTTTCTAAGAAACCTTCTAAAGTGGTTGTACCATACACTGACCAGAAATGTATGAGAAGTTCTACTTGTTCTACATACTTGTCAATATTTGGGTGTGAAATAGTATCTCACTGTGGTTTTAGTTTGCATTTTCCCAATGCTGAGATTTTGATTGAGACTGTTAACTATATAGATCAGTTCGGCAAGAAATGACGTCTTAACAGTATTGAGTCTCCCAATCCATGAGCGTGGTAAATGTCTCCATTTGTTTGGATCTTCTTTAGTTTGTCTCAGCAGTATTTTGTAGTTTTCAGTGTATAGGTCTTACAAGTACTTTGTTAAATATATCACTGTTTCATGTTTTTTGAAGCTGTTGTAAATGGTATTTTTTAAATTTACATTTTACTTGTTACTAGTATATAAAAATAAAATTGATTTTTTAAAGTATATTGATTATGTGTCCTGTACCTTGCTAAATTCACTTATTAAATTCTACTGGCTTTTTAACATATTCTTAGGATTCTGTGTCCATAATCATGACATGTGTAAATAAAGACATTTTTACTTCTTTCTCACCTGCATGTATGCCTTTAATTTCTTTTTCTTATTGCACTGGCTATGACCTCCAGTACAGTGTTGAATAGAAGTGGTGAGAGTTTATGTCTTTGCCTTATTCCTGATTCTAGCGGGGAAAGTATTCGTTATTTGTTGAATGTAATGTTAGCTGTTGGGTTTTTTTTTAACATGTCCTTGATCAGGTTGAAGAGTTTCCTCCTTTTCCTGGTTTGCTGAGAGAAATCATGAATGTGTGTTGAATTTTTTCTAGTGCTTTTTCTGTATCAGTTGAGAGAATCATATGATTTTTCTCCTTTATTTTGTAAATATGGTGAATTATACTTAGTGATTTTTTTAAATATTTTTAATTAATTAATTAATTAATTTTTCCCCCAAAGCCCCAGTAGATAGTTGTATGTCATAGCTGCACATCCTTCTAGTTGCTGTATGTGGGACGCGGCCTCAGCATGGCCGGAGAAG